AAGCAGCACTGCGTCGGACCAAACTGTAGATAAACAAAAGAATACTCACTAAACGTCATGTAAAATACGTATGTGTGAAAAATTGGACTCGCAAAGCACACTGGGATTGTTTTGGGGGACGATCGAATTAAGTGAAAATGTAATGAAAAAATAATTTGCGTTTTCGTTTAAATTAACTAGGAATGTTACAATGCAGCCTGCAAACTTTGACTGAAAAATTCAAACAGATCTCCAGAAATGTTTGACGAAGCAATAAAAACGCCAATTATTATAAAAAAAACTAGCTACAAGGATTACCAGACCCCCCCCTCCGCAAAAAAAGTTTACCATTAATATCTGACGTAAGACTCATATTAATTTTTCTCACTTGTCGCAACAGTGAAAAGTTTTGAAGTTTTCAACACGTCACTACCCGACAAAAAATCCTAATGCGCAACCACAGTATGCTTATAGTGTAGTGGGCATGCGCAGATATTTGTACCTGAGCTTCACAAGCAAGTCTTGAATTCTTCCCGCCTTCAACATGGAAATTATATTGGACGGTTCTTGTTGAGCCATAAGATGGATGAAACACGACTTCACAGTCAAGTGATGACGACGCATTAACTGTACCTAAAACATTGAAAATACGTGTCTTTGTATTTTCAAAACTCAGGAGCTGTTCACATGAGCCCGGGTAACAGAGATTCAGCGAGATGTGAAACGATTTTGAGTCATCGAAATGAGTAAAAACTTCAAGCGCAAAACGTACAACCTTTTTGTAAGCGTCATAAGTCATTTTAGTTGTAACTTTCAAATCATGCTAAATTATTTGTTTTCATTTTAGAGGTTTTGCGATTTTGCAAAGTCAGAGCATAGAGAAATTGCTTAAATGAGTTTTTTGTTGTGAAGTATTAAATATTTTCCATTTGCCAAAATGATTTGACACTTCGCTGAATGGCGGCTGCCCGAGCTCATGTGAACAACCACATAGAAACATGTATAAGAGCACTTAAAGCAGTGTGTATGAAAAAAGTGAATCGATTTTTAACATGCTATTGTGTATTTGATATTGTGTTTTACGATTGTATTTTCATATAGCTTTAATTTTTTAATAAAGTGTTTTTTATTTCATTTCGACCAGAAATGATCGAGTACGCATCAAATAAAATTCGAAAATCGAAATTGCATTTTTACACAGTTGATTCACAACTATTTCAAACAAAGGCAAATAAAACTTGTATCATAAGCAGGAGAATCTTCAATTAATTGTATTCGATTCCCAACAGTAGAGAAACGCAACTTCGACTTGCATTTATTTCAAGAGTATATTAAGAGTACAATTCTACTTGTTATGAAACAATAAACATATCAATAGTTAGTACATAAAAGCTCTTCTTTCTTTACATGTAAAAATATAAGCGAAAAACACAATGCCAAACGCTCGATTGCCCACCCAATTTCGACTCAATTTTTCTAGTCAAATTGTAGTTCACTGCATATTGAAATAAATATGCACCTACGTAGCTTGCACAAAAAGCTTGGTAAAGTAGTTCGCTGCATATTGAAATATATATGCACCTACGTAGCTTGCACAAAAAGCTTGGTAAAGTAGTTCACTGCATATTGAAATAAATATGCACCTACGTAGCTTGCACAAAAAGCATAGTAAAGACTGAACATAGGGGAACGTTGCATGAAGGACAAATCACTTTAGCTACATCTGGCAGAAATTTTTTCGATTGCTTCAAGAGCAAAAACCTATGTTTATAACTAAGTAAGAACATTAAAGCAATCTTTAACTTATTTCAATTCACACCTCTTGAAGGACATATTGAAAATGAAGAATCATCTTTGCAATCGACAATTTTCCAAGCAAAATCCGCATCAGCATTTCGTCTGTTATCAATCCTCACAACACCTCGAAAACCTAAACATAAATTACACAACTCCAATTTCATATAAAAAAAAGCTTTTTCAATTCGTTGCAAGGCACGGATTTCTCATGAAAAGTATTTTCCAATTGCAACGAAAAACAACTAATAATTTCATAACTTACCAGACTCGGTGGCCATAGATGAATTTGGTTTCAATGTGAGTTTATCGGAGGATAACTGCAAAGCGACAGGTACCACTGAAGCTTTTGTGATGACATAAAAATGTTGATTGTCGTTGATCGTGTATTGGATATTCCTTTTAAGAAATCGTAAAAAAATGATGCAAATAAGTTCGATAATGTTGTTTTACTTAGATGATTTTGTCTTATAGTATAGTTTATGTTGGCGATACATACTTAGGTACAAAGTCTTAAAAAGAGTTGATGTTTTACTTTCAATAATATCTTAATATCATAGATAATAACATCACGTTGTTGTGATGTACTCAGGTATAGTAACAAGATAATCATTGTCTACAATGTTCTACCAACTGAACTACAAGATTGACTGTAGACTATGATGATATTTCAAAACACAGTTCTAGTTTCTTTCATATCTCAAGATAATAACATCACGTTGATACTCGAATACTCGTATCTGGCATATCATTGTCTAATATTCGCTAAGGTAGACTATGAGCTATGATGTTCTGCTTTCATATCTGTATCATAGATAATAACATCACGTTGTTGTGATGTACTCAGGTATAGTAACAAGATAATCATTGTCTACAATGTTCTACCAACTAAAATACAAGATTGACTGTAGACTATGATGATATTTCAAAACACAGTTCTAGCTTCTTCCATATTTTAATATCATAGATAATAACATCACGTTGTTGTGATGTACTCAGGTATAGTAACAAGATAATCATTGTCTTCAATCTTCTACCAACTAAACTACAAGACCAACTGTGGACAATGATGATATTTCAAAACACAGATCTTAACTTTACCTTTCAAATGATCCTTTAGCAATGGACTCAAAAACGAGATTAATTCTGGCAGAGGAATGAGGTGGGATCACTTGGGATAATGGCGACGACTGACGTAGTTCGCGGCAATCAATCTAATAAGGTCACGATTATTACTGGAAATTAGTTAATTGAACAATAAGAGAAATCCGGAAGGCATTCGGTTATAAAGGTTTTCAGAGGATTGCATTGAGTAATATAGGTTATTTGCGGATAGTGAAACAGCGATGAGCAGCTACGATTTGGGTTAGGAAAGTCAACCAATATACTAAAGCAACGGTGAACTGGCGTTTGGCAAAATAAATCACAACATCCAAGTTTCCCTGGAAACTATGCACTACATTCTGCCATTAATTTCTCGTAATTTTAACATACATGGACGACAGCATGAATATGTTGATTTAGGTTATTTCCAATCGTTAAATATTTCGTCTTCATGGATCGCTGACAAACTTCACCAAAATCTATGCCAGGCAGTCTAGAAAAGTATAAAGGTAAATTATTTGAACCTGGGAGTTTCGTAACATGGTAGATGTAGATCGTCCAGGGGTAGACGGTGAAGATGGTTGACTGACGCCCCGACAACCTTAGCGGCAGTCATCTTGAGTGTCAACCAGTGATAGTCACAAGTCTTTACAAACTTCGACGATCAACATCCACAAACATGTAATGATTGATATCACCCAAAGTACGTCACATGACAAATTTACCAATGTCGATCTTCTTAATATCCTCGGGAGAAAGCGTCTTTTTGCAGTCCAGTTTTTCAACATCGGTCAGTGGGATCGCGTTGAGACCGTCGACTAACTAAAATGTCATTAATACCTGATCACAAAACAGCAAGATCACCTTCTGACTAAGAACTTACTAACGTAAGTACAACATTCAAAGATCACCTTCTAAGAACTTACTAACGTAATTATAACATTCAAAGATCACCTCCTGACTAAGAACTTACTAACGTAATTATAACATTCAAAGATCACCTTCTTACAAAGAACTTATTAACGTAATTACATTCAAAGATCACCTCCTAAGAACTTGTAATTATAACATTCATCACCTCCTGACTAAGAACTTACTAACGTAAGTACAACATTCAAAGATCACCTTCTAAGAACTTGTAATTATAACATTCAAAGATCACCTCCTGACTAAGAACTTACTAACGTAATTATAACATGAATCTTACAAAGAACTTATTAACGTAACATTCAAAGATCACCTCCTAAGAACTTACTAACGTAATTATAACATTCAAAGATCACCTCCTGACTAAGAACTTACTAACGTAATTATAACATTCAAAGATCACCTTCTGACTAAGAACTTACTAACGTAATTATAACATTCAAAGATCACCTTCTGACTAAGAACTTACTAACGTAAGTACAACATTCAAAGATCACCTTCTAAGAACTTACTAACGTAATTATAACATTCAAAGATCACCTCCTGACTAAGAACTTACTAACGTAATTATAACATTCAAAGATCACCTTCTTACAAAGAACTTATTAACGTAATTACAACATTCAAAGATCACCTCCTAAGAACTTACTAACGTAATTATAACATTCAAAGATCACCTCCTGACTAAGAACTTACTAACGTAATTATAACATTCAAAGATCACCTTCTGACTAAGAACTTACTAACGTAAGTACAACATTCAAAGATCACCTCCTAAGAACTTACTAACGTAATTATAACATTCAAAGATCACCTCCTGACTAAGAACTTACTAACGTAATTATATTTCAAAGATCACCTTCTTACAAAGAACTTATTAACGTATGTATTCAAAGATCACCTCCTAAGAACTTACTAACGTAATTATAACATTCAAAGATCACCTCTGACTAAGAACTTACTAACGTAATTATAACATTCAAAGATCACCTTCTGACTAAGAACTTACTAACATTATAACATTCAAAGATCACCTCTGACTAAGAACTTACTAACGTAATTATAACATTCAAAGATCATCCTGACTAAGAACTTACTAACGTAATTATAACATTCAAAGATCACCTTCTGACTAAGAACTTACTAACGTAATTATAACATTCAAAGATCACCTCCTGACTAAGAACTTACTAACGTAATTATAACATTCAAAGATCACCTCCTGACTAAGAACTTACTAACGTAATTATAACATTCAAAGATCACCTTCTGACTAAGAACTTACTAACGTAAATTACAACAGAATCACTCCTAGAACTTACTAACGTAATTAACATTCAAAGATCACCTCCTGACTAAGAACTTACTAACGTAATTACAACATTCAAAGATCACCTCCTAAGAACTTACTAACGTAATTACAACATTCAAAGATCACCTCCTAAGAACTTACTAACGTAATTATAACATTCAAAGATCACCTCCTGACTAAGAACTTACTAACGTAATTATAACATTCAAAGATCACCTCCTGACTAAGAACTTACTAAAGTAATTATAACATTCAAAGATCACCTCCTGACTAAGAACTTACTAACGTAATTATAACATTCAAAGATCACCTTCTGACTAAGAACTTACTAACGTAAGTACAACATTCAAAGATCACCTCCTAAGAACTTACTAACGTAATTATAACATTCAAAGATCACCTCCTGACTAAGAACTTACTAACGTAATTGGCATTCAAAGATCACCTCCTAAGAACTTACTACGGCGTTACAACATTCAAAGATCACCTCCTAAGAACTTACTAACGTAATTATAACATTCAAAGATCACCTCTGACTAAGAACTTTAATAATTATAACATTCAAAGATTACCTCCTGACTAAGAACTTACTAACGTAATTATAACATTCAAGATCACCTCTGACTAAGAACTTACCGTAGGTAATTAAAGATCACCACCATTCAGAACTTACTAACGTAATTATAACATTCAAAGATCATTCCTGACTAAGAACTTACTAACGTAATTATAACATTCAAAGATCATCCTCCTGACTAAGAACTTACTAACGTAATTATAACATTCAAAGATCACCTTCTGACTAAGAACTTACTAACGTAAATACAACATTCAAATCACCTCCTAAGAACTTACTAACGTAATTATAACATTCAAAGATCACCTCCTGACTAAGAACTTACTAACATAATTACAACATTCAAAGATCCTCCTAAGAACTTACTAACGTAATTACAACATTCACACCTCCTAAGAACTTACTAACGTAATTATAACATTCAAAGATCACCTCCTGACTAAGAACTTACTAACGTAATTATAACATTCAAAGATCACCTCCTGACTAAGAACTTACTAACGTAATTATAACATTCAAAGGTTACCTCCTGACTAAGAACTTACTAACGTAATTATAACATTCAAAGATTACCTCCTGACTGAGAACTTACTAACGTAATTATAACATCCCAAGATTACCTTCAGAGGAGTTGCTAATGTTTTAGTGGTAAGCATTGCATCTAGGCTTGAACATCTATTCTCCTCGTCTAAAAGCAATCAAAAACATCGAAAGTTGCTGGAAAAAAGTGACTTTGTCTATACGTTTTGAGATCTACGTACGTGAGACTGTCAAATCTTTCGTCAAATAGCAGAACAATATGATAAAATTTAACAGTTTATGTTTTGTTGATGATAACGGAAGAATATTTTTTAGTATTCTGAGTTTACATTTGCCATGTAAGACCAAAAGAAAGATCGAATAGGAGATTTATGGATGCTCTGAATGAGAATATAAAGTTATAAGGTTTGTAGCAAGAGGATACAGTAGGATACAGGAGGATACAGTAGATAAAAAGGGATGGACACAAATGATTTTTGTAGCAAACCGTTGACACGAAAAACAAGACAAAGAGTTTTGACCTTCACCTGTTTACAAAAAAAAACTAGACAAAATGCAAATCTCCAATAGCCGACAGGTATTAGTATGGCACTATGAAAGGTCAACAGACACCCCTACGATCCTCCCGTTACCTTAGTCCTAATAACAACACCCACCCCTCCTCAGTTACCTTAGTGCCAATAACATCACCCCACCCTCCTCCAGTTATATCAAGGTCAATAACGCCATCACCCTTCTCCCGTTACCTCAGTTTCAATAACGTCACCCCTCCCGTTACCTCAGTGCGAATAACTAACTTTTTTCTATTCTATTTGCTTCTTTGACAGTTATTTTCAGGGGTTGAAGACCATGTCCAGGTTTAATTCCAAGATCTTTCTTGTTTTCCCATCTATCCATTTTCCTGCAAACAAATAAGAAACCAAGTCATTTTTTAGTGCAAGAAATTCCGATCTACAGTCAAAAAACTGAAGCCTAAAGATTCATTGGATGAGCGATTACGTTTTACGTCTAACAAACAGAATGTAGCGTTGCAAGGGGCAAAGATTCGTCGGAGGCAAAATTCAGCGTTCTTAATGCAAAAAAAATGGAACGCTACACTGCAAAAAAATGAACAAGCTCAGGTGATGTGATGAATGTTGATTACGTTTAACAATCAATGATCAATAAGACTTGGATTAAGGATTATTACTTATGTTCAACGATAAAAAATCATTCTCTAAAAATTAACATAACGACATTCACGGAAAAACCGCGTAAGACTGGAAAACAATGTGGAGCACAAACCTTTTATTTAGTTTGAACTCTCTAAATGTTCTCAAATCTCGTAAATAATCCAAATACAACTGTCGATGCTGTTGTTTACGACGAGTTTCTTCATCAGTCAAAGCGAAATCAGGGTCAATATACGTATATCTCTGAATACCTGTGTATTGCGTTCTGAAAAAAACCCAGAAAATAAGTTGTAAGCAAACTATGTTTTATAATGTGTACTTTAAATGTTTGTAGATGTAGATCGTCCAGGTTAGTAAAGTTCTGAGAAGGACTGTTTTTGTTGTTGTTGACTGACGTTCCGACAACCTTAGCGGTAGTCATCTTCAGAGTCAACTGGGTTCAAATCTTTCACTTTATTAATATCCTAAGTCGTACTTCACCTTATTTTTAATATTTTTCTGCAGGCCGTACGCTTATCTCTCCAGCTTCAGCAATTTCGTATCTATCATCCGCGATTTCCATCACCGCCCACGAGAGATCATTGAACGAAGCTAAGCCCGTTGGTGAGACTCCGACAGGACAAGCATGGATCATTACGAACACCGTGAAGTTGCAGAATCGTGTGAACGACAATCTTTGGGAAAGAGGTGACTTTGTTCCAGTCATTTTTCAACACGGCCAGAAGATGAACATCCAGATTGGTATATTAGACTTCGCTCGATGGAATTATTTGGATTGGACTGGGAGACCATTACACCGCACGGGGTGAAAATGGTTGGTTTGGTCGAGAACGTTATCGGTAACAGATGAGAGTGATTCGTGATCTTGCACAAGGCTTCCACGTGATCACCGACTTTACATTCACCAAATACAACTTTAGGTTCAGGTGTTATGGTTACTTCAACTGGTGCGGCCGTAGCAGAAACAGCTATCTCCAGTTTACAACCTGAATTATCAAAGTATCAAATCTCATGGAATTGGCAACATTAAAGTTATGTGAAAAATGCTTTTATGGGTGAGCTGTCAAAGAACTGTTCAAAAAAAATTGTATAGCACTTGAATGTAAGCTGAATCCTTCCAAAATGCTCCTTCTTCTTTAAGGAAAATTTATGAACTGGCCGATATTTACAGTAAAAGAGTAAAAACGACATCAGAAAGAGATACAGTCAAAACGGAGATAATTGAATTCAAAGTCTTTCTGGACACATTGCTCGGATTCACAAATGAAAGCTTCCAATCTTTCGATGATAAACAAATACTACATTGCAGAAAAATGCAGTCGAAATGGAAACAGCGAGCGATGAAATATTGCAGGGTTAAAAGAACTATGTCGGGACTAAAAAGCAAAATTTTGCTGGCTTTGCAAAATTTTTTTTCTTTGAAAACTATGGAAGAAGAAAAGAAGGAAGAAAGTAAACAAACCCTTTTGCCCCCTCCAGTGTCCGCTTTCCGGCAAGATAATGCCTCTCCACCATTGAGTAGTGAGAATATTGTTCTACCTGTCCTCCCCACCAAAACCCCCAACAAAATCCTTGGAAGGTTTACCTTAATTTTCCTGCATCTGAGAACAAGCTATAATTGAAAAATTCGCTGTCTCACCGTGTTTGAACTCGCCCTCTACATTCTGATTGATGACGCAACAACTTTATGTTGACAAACAATGCATAATCTTTCGCGGTGGATTTTCGCATTTTTCCAGCCGCGACAGGATTTCTCGTATCGTGGACTGAATACGAAATATAAATCCATCGTCTCATCGGCCTAGTGCACCTTGTGTAGGAACACGGATATTAATGATTTCAAGTCGTCACCAGTCTCCATTTCATCAGAACGAGTCTTGGATATCATTAAGGCTGTCGCAGTTTTTTGTCAAATCCAAACCCTTTAGCGATGTAATCAAAATTAGGCAATGTTATAAGAGGTGAAGCAAGTGTATACTGGAAAATAAAAACAATTGAAAATAGAAGAATGCTTTTCAATTAGATTGAAACCGACCTCAACCTACCATTGTCTATCCTAACATATCAAGACTTACCACTTCCTGTCCTTCGGTGTCCTCGTCCAAAGAACAACAAAATTGATCCTCTCAGGTCCACTGTTGTACAGCTTGAAAGATCGTAGTTGATCAGTACCGTGGTATATGGGGACCGAATTCAATATGTTGAACTGGTGCCCAGGTCTCCGGATTTAACAACACGATACTTCTTTCAACGACATTTGCAAGTACCTCGACATGTGCCTGGTCTTGTCTTTCCAAGTCAACACTGAACGAGAAAAAACAAACATGTTTCTAGAACTGAAAGTGTGGCATGTAGTTTCATAAGGTTCATCGCTTTCTGTGACGCCGACTGCGCCCGAAACGATGGGAAGTTATGGCAAGAAGCACGACCATAGAACCACGAGGGCTAAATAGTAAGATCGAATTGATACACCTTGCACTCTACAATGATGACGGTGAACATAGCAGTTCAGCAAGTCTGGTCATGCTATGCATATATTTTCGTGTTCACTCACTGAAAAAACAATAGATTTATGAATAAAGAAATGACAATCTCTGAAATTTACATAGCAAGACCAAACTTGCAGACTGTCTAAGACAGAGTCTATCTGTGTGTTTCAGTGATGTTGCATTAAATACACGCCCTCCTTTTACACTAGTTAGTAACTGCTCACTTGTATGCTTAACCAATCAAGTGCGAAATTCGAAAATCTTCACAACTTAGTCACATAAAAGTCACAAAATCCGAGAACATACTTGATTATTTCCTGGAATTTTCCACATGTTTTACCAATGAATTCAACCTGAAAATGAATACAAAGTAGTTTATAGTTGCCCCAAAATTTCACAAAATTCCAGCAAGCAAAGTAAACATCTCCACCAGCACAAGTAAACATTTCCACCAGCACAAGTAAACATCTCAAGAACACAAGTAAACATCTCAAAGAGCACAAGTAAACATCCACCAGCACAAGTAAACATCTCAAGAACACAAGTAAACATTTCCACCAGCACAAGTAAACATCTCAAAGAGCACAAGTAAACATTTCCACCAGCACAAGTAAACATCTCAAGAACACAAGTAAACATTTCCACCAGCACAAGTAAACATCCAAAGACACAAGTAAACATCTCAAAGGCACAAGTAAACATTTCCACCAGCACAAGTAAACATCTCAAGGAACACAAGTAAACATCTCAAAGAGCACAAGTAAACATTTCCACCAGCAGAGTAAACATCTCAAGAACACAAGTAAACATCACAAGAGCACAGTAAACATCTCAAAGGCACAAGTAAACATTTCCACCAGCACAAGTAAACATCTCAAGAACACAAGTAAACATCACAAGAGCACAAGTTCACATCTCAAAGGCGCAAGTAAACATCTCAAAGGAGAGTAAACATCCACCAGCACAAGTAAACATCTCCACCAACACAAGTGTTTCACCAGCACAAGTAAACATCTCAAGAACACAAAGTAAACATCTCAAAGAGCACAAGTAAACATTTCCACCAGCACAAGTAAACATCTCAAGACACAAGTTAAACATTTCCACCAGCACAGTAAACATCTCCACCAGCAAGTAAACATTTCCACCAGCACAGTAAGAACACTAAAGAACAGGCATCTCCAAAGAGCACAAGTAAACATTTCCACCAGCACAAGTAAACATCTCAAGAACACAAGTAAACATTTCCACCAGCACAAGTAAACATCAAAGAACACAAGTAAACATCTCAAAGAGCACAAGTAAACATTTCCACCAGGCAATAAACATCTCAAGAACACAAGTAAACATCACAAGAGCACGTAAATTATCTCAAAGAGCACAAGTAAACATTTCCACCAGTCAAGTAAACATCTCTAAGAACACAAGTATCACAAAGAGCACAGAGTTCACATCTCAAAAGGCGCAAGTAAACATCAAAGGCACAAGTAAACATCTCCACCAGCAAGTAAACATCTCCACCAGCTGGTAAACATTTCCACCAGCACAAGTAACATCTCAAGAACACAAGTAAACATCTCAAAGAGCACAAGTAAACATTTCCACCAGCACAAGTAAACATCTCAAGAACACAAGTAAACATTTCCACCAGCACAAGTAAACATCTCCACCAGCACAAGTAAACATTTCCACCAGCACAAGTAAACATCTCAAGAACACAAGTAAACATCTCAAAGAGCACAAGTAAACATTTCCACCAGCACAAGTAAACATCTCAAGAACACAAGTAAACATTTCCACCAGCACAAGTAAACATCTCAAGAACACAAGTAAACATCTCAAAGAGCACAAGTAAACATTTCCACCAGCACAAGTAAACATCTCAAGAACACAAGTAAACATCACAAAAGAGCACAAGTAAACATCTCAAAGGCACAAGTAAACATTTCCACCAGCACAAGTAAACATCTCAAGAACACAAGTAAACATCACAAGAGCACAAGTTCACATCTCAAAGGCGCAGGTAAACATCTCAAAGGCACAAGTGAACATCTCCACCAGCACAAGGTAAACATCTCCACCAGCACAAGTAAACATTTCCACCAGCACAAGTAAACATCTCAAGAACAAGTAAACATCTCAAAGAGGCACAGTAAACATTTCACACAAATGAAACATCAAAGAACACAAGTAAACATTTCCACCAGCACAAGTAAACATCTCAAGAACACCAGAAGCATCTCAAAAGGCACAGAGTAAACATTTCCACCAGCACAAGTAAACATCTCAGAACACAAGTAAACATCTCAAAGAGCACAAGTAAACATTTCCACCAGCACAAGTAAAACATCAAGAACACAAGTACATCACAAAGAGCACAAGTAAACATCTCAAAGAGCACAAGTAAACATTTCCACCAGCACAAATAAACATCTCAAGAACACAAGTAAACATCTCAAAGAGCACAAGTAAACATTTCCACCAGCACAAGTAAACATCTCAAGAACACAAGTAAACATCTCAAAGAGCACAAGTAAACATTTCCACCAGCACAAGTAAACATCTCAAGAACACAAGTAAACATCACAAAGAGCACAAGTAAACATCTCAAAGAGCACAAGTAAACATTTCCACCAGCACAAATAAACATCTCTAGAACACAAGTAAACATCACAAAGAGCACAAGTTCACATCTCAAAGAGCGCAAGTAAACATCTCAAAGAGCAAAAGTAAACATCTCCACCAGCACAAGTAAACATCTCCACCAGCACAAGTAAACATTTCCACCAGCACAAGGCATCTCATCGCCAGAAGAAACATCTCAAAGAGCACAAGTAAACATTTCCACCAGCACAAGTAAACATCTCAAGAACACAAGTAAACATTTCCACCAGCACAAGTAAACATCTCAAGAACACAAGTAAACATCCCAAAGAGCACTAGTAAACATTTCCACCAGCACAAGTAAACATCTCAAGAACACAAGTAAACATCTCAAAGAGCACAAGTAAACATTTCCACCAGCACAAGTAAACATCTCAAGAACACAAACATCACAAAGAGCACAAATGAAACATCTCAAAGGCACAAGTAAACATTTCCACCAGCACAAGTAAACATCTCAAGAACACAAGTAAACATCACAAAGAGCACAAGTTCACATCTCAAAGAGCGCAAGTAAACATCTCAAAGAGCACAAGTAAACATCTCCACCAGCACAAGTAAACATCTCCCCAGCACAAGTAAACATCTCAAAGAGCACAAGTTAACATCTCAAAGTGCAAAAGTAAACATTTCATGAACATCGATACATTTCAGCTAAACGATAACAAATACCATTGTAAATGAAACCTGTTGCTGGTGAAAATTTTGGTCAATTATTTCAAATATCAAATTTCGCAATCAAAACTATAACTTTTTTAACTGCCAAGTGATATCGCAGCCTATCGACAAAGTGCAAAAATCAGGAATTTGTTTCTCTACCTACTCAAACCTGAGCAGCCGAAGAGCATTCCCACCTTAATCTTCAGTGATGAATGGGCTCGAATGACGTCACTTGTAGGAATTATGGTCAGCGATTGTTTTCCCGTGTACTTGATCGAGAAGGCTCCCTCTCTACTCCCGTAGTTATCGATGGAAAAATACCCAGTTAGGATCTTACCATTTAACACGGTCGTGCCAAAATCAACTGCGCCACGTATTTCAAGTTGCGGTGAAGGTGTGAAACTGCAAACATTGAACCACAAGTAACAACACTTATGCAGGAGACTAAAAAGGGCTGTATGTGATGACTGACGTAAATTGTTCAATCATGATCACTGCTGAGGTTGCCAAAAAGTCAGTCTACACTAACACGAACAGTGAATTTCAGGACTCAGCTAATCTGCGTATATGTCGATTTACAAAGTTCAACTGTTCAAATGTGGAAGATAAACATCTACATAGATGTAACAATACTCCTGACTTCAAACTATTCATTTTATGCGGAAACTGCAGTATGAAAATGCAAGAAAATAGTAGTTGAAATCAAATCCGCGCAGAAAAAGAATAGAGATGATAAAGTTAAATAAAATTACGACATTCAAAGGATGGAAACGGTAACAGAAAATAGAAAGGAGTGACACATGATGAGAAAGGTATGTGGTGAGAGAGGGTGGTATGTGGTGAGGGTATGTGGTGAGAGGGTGATATGTGAGGAGGGTGTATGGTGAGAGAAGGTGGTATGTGGTGAGAGAGGGTGGTATGTGGTGAGATCGAGTGATATGTGAGAAAGAGTGACATGTGATAAAAGAGAGTGGCACTTAATGGGAGAAGGTGATATGGTGAAGAGAGTATATAAGAGGGTGCATGTTGTGATGAGAGGGTGACATGTGACGAGGGCTTTCAAAATCAAAAATTCACCCGCGTGCTTCATCGCACAAAGCAAAACTGATTACGTACGTCATTATCTTAAAACTCGCAATTTTCTCAGAACGTTAAACATTTCCACATTTTTTCTCAATTCTTACAAGAAAAAACACACGCGAAATGCTAACTCGTATGTTGTCACTTTATTTTAACGACAACAACATGTGCATACATAATGTTTTCGCGGGAAAACGTAACAACAATCGCATAAATTATGTGAACACAATATTAAGTATAACATCAAGTTTTAACATGTATTTCACAACAGAGATGGGACGAGAGTGACAGCGACTTTATAAGGTCACATGACAGAGAGAGTGACATGTGACATGTTAAGGTGAAACTTGATGAACATTTTCTTGTTTCATACTTACGCTATTAAAGGTATCTCTATGATGTCATCATCTACCAATAATATGGTTCGATCTTGCCTGTCTTCAAAATCTTCTGTGTAATATTCTACTAATACGGTGACATCCAAACCTGGCGCAATTGGTTTGTCAGGATTCTTCACTTTCAACGAGAAGAACTAAATATAAAGAAAGTAAAAACATTGGCCTCATATGGCGTCTACCTTTAGGTGTTTAGTCTTAAGCCTCTTTTCCCCTCATCGCAAAATGCTCTCGCTGCGAGCTTGCGAGTTGTATACGCGCTATCAAAAAATTTTGTTCAATTAATTTAACTATGCTGCCAGTCATGGTAAGCTCACTGCAAGTAACTCGCAGGCACTCGCAGCGAGCTTGCCAGTACGTTTTGCGATGAGTGGAAAAGAACCTTTAGAGGCTGCTAAGTTTCGAGTTGGTATTTGCAGCATCCGTTAACTCTAATGGTTAACTCTTCAACCACATAAAGTAAATGGTTTGAGCCGGGGAGTATTCTTACATGTTTGTAGATATCGTCCGGGTTAGAAAAATCATGAGAAGGACTATTAACAACAGTCCTTCTCAGTCTCTAACCTGGATGATCTACATCTACAGGCATCTTTAACCACACGTTTATAAATTGTATTTTTCAATGCATTTAAAGTTGTAAAATGGCAGTGATATGTTCTTTCCAGAGGGCAGTTACTTTCAGCTGGTGGCTACTTTCAACTCTCTAAGGTACTCTGAAAGTCACTATATATCCAAGCTATGGAAATGAGTTTCTGCAGAGATAATTTCGGTACAAAGTTTCAATCGAATGAAATTTTTGAGCACTTGCTTCAATTTTTGACGGGACCATCATTTGTTTGTGTCTGCATGAGTAGATCGTCCAGTTTTATATGTTTAATGATAGTTAAGCTTTAACAGTTGGAAAATTTTGCTGTTTTTCAAAAAGGCTCGTAACTGTGCACAATGAAATAATTGGTGTAGTTATCTGAAAATTAAATTTCTTAGCTCAAGTGTCAAACAATTAAAACAGTTGCAAAAATACTCCAACATTTAGTAAAGATTACAGTATAGTACAGCAGCTCAATATTGAGTATAGCATACCTCATTTATCAATAAGGAATTTAAACAAAAACACATTTAAAGCCGTTGTGTAACGATATCATCGGAAGAATATCTCCGGTTTTCGTCAAAAACATATTTATAAACTTTAAAAAGCTCCAACACAAGGACTTTTTATGTATGCCAGCCACATTAACAAAGATGAATTTTACCTTTGAGTTGGGTGAATGGAAGCGTACGAACTTTGAGAACTTGCTGAGATTTTGAACTTTCAGGTTCATCTGGTGAAGCACATGAGGTTCGGCATCGTTGAATTGAACCACAGCTGGGAAAATTCTCACCTCCTCGGCTACCCTCCATTTTTCCCCGATAATCTCATCTATTTTTCAAAAATAACACCAAGAAAGACATGAAAATCCTCTCAATACAACGTTTTGCTTATACATGCAATTCTTTTCAACTATAAGATGACATTATCACCAGGATTGGCAACCATCTTGTTTTTAAAGCTTGTTACCTAGCAACGACAAAGTTGAGAGATTTGCATATTTGCATTCGCGCATATTTCGTTTAAGCAGCCCACCTTACAAATTTTGTTATTTTGTTTATTTATTAAATATTTGATTCAAAGAACTGCTTGGGAATAAAATCACGAGGTTGTGAAAATCTTCTGCCTTGTTTCAAAAGAAATGGCAATTTATGGCGGAAGAAATTGCAAGTTAACAAAGCAATTCTTTTTCTTATAGTCTGATAGAGTGGAGGATAGTGTTGAAGTCACTCTCACAAACCGGGGAGTCAATAATTCGAATTTGAAATATTGTGATACAAATTACATTTTCCAGAAGAAAAACCTTTGACTTGTAGATAAAGATAACAACATACCTTATTGAAGAGATGGATGACACAGCTGCAAAAGAATCGAAAGAGAATAGATGAACTAAAACAGCAATCCGCGGCATTACAAACTACGAAAGAGGAAGAGATGAATCGAAAATAATGGGAAAAGTGAAGGCGGATCCAGGGTATACACCGATCCCAACGACGGAACTCAGTATGAATGGGATGAAAATAAACGAGCATGGTTTCCTAAGGTTATTAGTTTCTGCAAAAAATACAATCTAATATAGTTCTTTAATATTGTAAAATTACCTAATTACACACAGGTGACCAATAATCTAAAGTTAATAGGAATCATAATTCTGGGTGGCGGTCTGTAGCTCGGTTGACCTATCTCTCCCTTTGGCATTGCCATTAGTGAAACCAAGTAACTCAACTATAGAATGATCATTTTGTCTGAGGATGACTTTGAAATAAAGTCGAAAATTTACAGTTTTCTTCTCGTCTTGTTTTGATTCATATTTTGCAATCTCAAGATGTCTTTCTTCTTCGGAATTTGTTTTATATTACACTCCTTTAAATTGTCGGCTGGTCATGGTTCTTTCAACCATAGAGTTAACTGAACAAAATTCATGCTTTATGTTAATTTTAACCTCATTCAGTTCAGTGATTATGTACAACCACAACTCAAAACTTTGTTTCCCTAGATTGATGAAGATTTTATTGCGGCCTATCAAATGAACTATGGGTTTACACAAAACGAAACAAGCTGTAACAAAGACGAGGTCAAAACAGAAGCACAACCAACAATGGGAAGCACTATTACCAATATCAATAAGGTTGTTTATCAAAAATGTACCAGATTAGGGTTGCAGTTCTTATGGTCTTTTTCAATCTTAATAATATCTTTAAGCCTCAAGATGAACTGATCTCAAACATTGGACAGAAAAGAAAAGGGAAGGAACCTCCAGGTGTGAACTTCAAAACAAATGTTTTTAATATTTTTATCATGACATTTTACGTTTTAAAGATTAAAAATTTCATTGAGGATTCACAAACGTTTATTTTCATTTCTTGCTACAGCATGGTTTGAAATGGACGAAACCAAAAACACTAATGTTTATGTTTCGGGTAAAGATTAAAGATAGACACACAGTTTATAATTAAAGATGTTCTTTAGCTTTGTGTTATTTGATTATGAACATTGGGAATTTTAGGTTTGCATGAAGATACCACCGAGGAAGAGTTTGTCGAACTCATGAGCAAGTTTGGCATCATCATGGAAGATTCTGACACCAGTAAATGTTACTGTTGTTGCATAAAGTGTTTAGTACACATAAGAATCATAGTTTTCAGAAGGGACATTGTTTAACATTTAGCATCATATGTATTTGCTAACCAGGGTTTAAAACCCGGGGAGGAGGTACCCTGGGGGATGCCAGAAAGTAACTAGGGATATAAAATGTGGAAGTAACCAGAGGGTATGAAATCTGGGGTGACTAGGGCATAGAAATCTTGGGAGGTCCCTGGGTGGATGATAGAAATCTGGGGTGGTCATGGGTATAGAAAGATGGGGTGAAAGGCAAGAGAAAATTTGGGATAACTAGAGGTATAGAAATCTGGGGATAACCATGGGTATAGAAATGTGGAAGTAACAGGGGTATAGAAATGTGGTGGTGACTATGGGTATAGAAAGGGGGGGTGACTAGGGGTATAGAAATGGGGGGTGGCTAGGGGTGTAGAATGTGGGGTGGCTAGGGGTTAGAAAATCTGGGGTGACTAGGTATAGAAATGGGGTGACTAGGGGTATAGAAATGTAGGGTGGCTAGGGGTATAGAAATCTGGGGGTGACTAGGGGTGTAAAAATCTGGCCATGATTAAGGATATAGGGGTACAGAAATCTGGAAGTGACCAGAGGTATTGAAATCTGGGGATAACCAGTGCTATAGAAATCTGGGCTGATGATTTTGTCCTATTCCTATCATACGTACAAGTCCTACTGGACCAACCTTAACCACCGTTAGCTGGGACTATTTAGTTAGTAAAGTAAATGGTTTGAACCCGGGAGTATCGTTACATGTTTGTAAATGTAGATCGTCCAGGTTGGTATAGTCTTGAGAAGGACTGTTTTTGTTGTTTTTGACTGACGTTTCGACAACCTTAGCAGTAGTCATCTTCAGAGTCAAAACACTCATTCATTTTGACTCTGACGATGACTACCGCTAAGGTTGTCGAAACGTCAGTCAACAACAACAAAAACAGTCCTTCTCAGGACTATACAAACCTGGACGATCTACGTCTACAAACATGTAACTATTTAGTTAGGTTTGCCAAGCCTTATGAGGCGTTTGCAAAATTTTTAGGAAAACCAAAGATAAAACTGTATCGTGACAGTGAGGGTAATCTGAAAGGTGACGGAAGATGCTGTTATCTTAAGGTCCGTCTCCTTGCACATCCAATTCCTTAATACATTTTATTTCTGATCGACTTCACATTTTAATGGTTTCTTTCAAAAACAGGTCGAAAGTGTAGATTTAGCCATCAAACTTTTGGATGAATCCAACTTCAAAGGAAGAACCATAAAGGTTGAAAAGGTAAAATTTCAACAAATGTTTTCCCTCTGAGTGATATTTTTGTTGCGTTATTGTGTGTGTAATTATCATCATACCTGTTTTATTGTAAAGGCACATTTCGAAATGAAAGGAAAGTTCGATCCGTCTTTGAAACCTAAAAGAAAGAAGAAAAAGAAGAATAAGAAAGGAAAGGGTCAAGATAAGTAAGTTTAATTTAAACATGAAAATTTATGTACTTGTTTGAAAACGACATGGCTGGAACACGGCGGAAATGAAACGCTATTTTCAAGCCGCCTTTAAAAACTTTTGTTGTTTGTAAGTCGCTTGAGTGGCAAGTTAACGAAAAGTCATTCGCCCATTTAAATGCTTTGATAAGCTGTTCAATGTCCAAAAATATAATTCTAATTTTCAAGGTTGCTCGACTGGGTTGAGCGCGAGGAAAAAGTGTCAAAACTTGACAGAATTGTGGTTATAAAGAATATGTTTGATCCCAAAGATATGGAAGTGAGTTTTTCAAAAAGACTGGCGCAAACCTTCGTTTTCATCTAAAGTAAAATTTGTGTGAAATTTTTTCACGACAGAAAGACCCAGGTTTGATAATGGATCTTAAAACGACACAAGGAAAGAATGCGAGAAGTACGGTGTTGTTCGAAAAGTTATTGTTTTTGATGTGAGTATAAATTCTCTTTACTATAAAATTCATTAATACTACACGTCGATTGGTCAAAATACTTCTTCATAAAACGCAGCCGCAAGAATTTTCCGTAGCTCCATAGCTTTTCAAATTTAAAAGTATGGAGAATTTACTATGTCAATAATGAAAAACTTTTGAAACTAACTTTCTACTATGTAGTTTTTGTTATCATGAAAAAATGTTCATTTAACAAACAATCAACACTCATTTGCTATAGTTTTGGATTAAATGTGTATCAACACGGAAAATGGTTTTATTTATTAATTTTAAAAGGAAACAAGGCATTGAAATTAAAGAAATTGACGTTGTTGTTTTAGAGACACGAGGATGGTGTCGTGTCTGTTGGGTTTGCCGAAATGGAGCCTGCAGAAACCTGCGTAAAGGTAGGATTCAGAAAAATTCCCTTGAAATGTTTTGGATCGGAGAATTTTATCAGTTTTTCTTTCATAAGGAAATGAATGGCCGATGGTTTTCTGGGCGAAGGCTCGTTGCTCAGAAATGGGATGGTGTGACGAAATACGACGTTGAAGAAACCGAGGAAGAAAAAGAGGAAAGGCTTAAAAAGTGGGAAGAATATTTGGAAAGAAAGGGTGAAGAACAAGACGCTAATTAATTGCGCTTTGTTATAAAATGTTCGGACTGATTTTCGCCAAAGTGTTGAATGTCAAAGAAATGCGTTTCATCACGGATATTTATGAGAACTCGAAAAGAATTTTTCACTAGGGGAACGAGGACGACGAAATGAACGTTTCGCTTATATCTGCAAGCACCAAACGGATTGTATAGCTACATATTGTGCTCATTATTCCTTTTGTGTACATAGATAAAGTTAATGTCTTTTGATGCAATAATGAAAGAATTGTTAAAAGAGTGTACGTTAGAATTACATCCCTAGAATGATGTAGGAATCAAATTGGATAAATTTGATATAGGCAAAAAGAAAGATCTAATATTTACTAACCAAAAAATTTACTTGAGCATTTTCATTGTATTCTACCCAAATTTAAGTAAAAACTATAGCTGACAAGTACCACCAAAAAAATCTCCATTGGAATCGGTAAAGGGCCATTTGGAAAAGTTCTGACAATAATCGCCGAAATGACTCTTTTCAATCCCTCAAAATCATTTCATACTCCACTGATTTCGGAGTGTAAAGAAAAATCTTCAAGACATAGAGAAAAACGCGGCAATGAAATTTCAATCCATATAATTTATCATCCATCGCATCAAAATCGTTTAACTAATCTTTCCAAATTCCATGTCCACTCGGTAACTATCTCTGACAACAAAGAACAGCGCTAGAACGTTTGAAAGAGCACGAAATTTGATCAAACAAATTGTGCTCCGAGGCGCCACAAGTCAAAGGTTAGGAAGTAATAATTTGCATATCAA